GCCCATTTGTGAGCACGAAGCCTAGTGGGAAAATGAGTAGGCGTTTTTTTGACTACTTCGATCCAAAGCTTCCATTTTCAAGCCGGTTGCTTTTGGATTTTAGTGATTTCTTTTTATATATATAAGAATAAATAATACAAAGTGCTAATAGTTTCAAATAATTATTTTTTAGGTTAAAAAGATAAAATACACTCGAAACAAATTTCAATTACCTTCCTAAACTACAGCTTTGAAGCGTTATTATATGCATGACGTTAGACATATGTTAGAAATAAGCTGGAATTATATAATATTTTTAAAGCATTATATCAAATCACTTTTATAGATTATTTCATTTCTAGTTGATAATTATATGTTTTTAATATAATAAGTGGGATTGAAAATTCAAATGCATAACCTCTTTGTTAGAGATAGTAATCATAAAGAAAATCACTTGTTTAGAAATATAATTTGATGGAAGATAATTACTAGTATGTGTAATCGCAATCACATGAAATGTGCTTTCTTATAAATAACAGAGGTTCAAGTCTCGATATTTAGCTAGTTAAGGCATTTATTATTCATCTCTCACACGATATTTGTAAAAGATAAATAGTCCATTTAAAAAATTGGTTACATCAGAGAACGATCGACTGCATACATCATTACATGATAAACGACTAGTCTTGCTGTGACCGAAAAAAGTCTAACAGTGCTTCCAAGCAAATTGTAATTCACAAGTGACTTAAAAGTTGTTTGCATCATCAGAATTGACATGCTCTATGATTTTGAAAAGTGTGATGCTTGTTTTTTCCATGTTCTCAAGATCTGGATCAAAGAAGCAAAAAATTCCTGTAAAATGTTGCATCAGAAATTGGGCTGTCAAACAGAATTTAAAATCAGTTTTTCATATTCTGGCCTATAAAACAGAGATTATGCGTACTTAAATATAATCAATGTTTTCAAGAGCATAAAAATGAAAGCAAACAAGATATCAAATGGATAGGTCATAATATTAACATAAATTGTACAATCAAACACTGAAGGACCGAAAAATAAAAGCATGAATAGAACAAGTACAACATGATAAATATTGAATCATAAAAGAAAGGTTCTTTGCTACTAGTCAAGTGTATCTTCTGATCATAATAATGTAAACAATAGCTATAAATTATGAGAAATAGAAACAGAACAAAAATAGTGAAATCAGGTACACCTTCAGAAGCTTGCTTGATTGGCAAACATCCGCAATTTATTGACCAAGTTGATCAGAGAACAGTATACTGACTTCTTAGGATTTTCTAACGATCTCAGTCACTCGAAAGCGGGTTCGAGAATGCTAAGGATACCCATAAAGATCTGCTGCGTCTTTTGGTAATTTCAGAGCTATTGTTTAGATTTACAGATACACTCGGGGTATGGGTTCTCATAGAATGATTCTTCGGTCTTGAATCGTGCTCGACCCTTTATCCCGGGTTGTGGACCTCTCCTTTTCCTCAGACCTCCTTGTCTGTGACAATTTTTAATGTAAATTACGTGTTCTTTCGCCCTTTAACAACAACCAGCTAAATAAAATGGCTCTCTATCTTTTTGGTGGTTGCTTTTATTTTGCAAGATGTGGAAGCAGCTCTTGTGAAGACAACTAAGTATAAAAATTATTCCAAGTTGCAACAAACTTTACCTGTTCTTATGCATCAACTGCACATGATCTGATAACGAGGGCCCTTCTCTTAGCTGTCCTTTCTCTAACTTATCAAAAATTTCAACAAGTCCTTTCCTGCAAATGATAAATAGAGTAAATAGACAATGGAATAGGAAAGGAAAAGAGAACAGTCCTAAGAAATTTCATCAACATTTATCATTCCAAGTATTCATGGCCTTAAAATTAGATATTTGAAATAATTTCAATCATGCTCAGAAGCGTGCAATAAATTTTCATTGTTATCCCAGAAATGTCATATATTTCTGAGCACCAGATTGGTTCAAGATGAAAATCTTCTCATAAGAAATCTCATTAGGTGAGTCCGACTTGAAGATAAAACCTAACTTCCCCTCCAGGAATATTTGTTTTTCTCAAGTCATTGGACTCTCTGCAGAAATATTCGTAAAAGAGGCATTACAGATGCACAATAATTGGTAAATCGACAAGAACCATCCAAAACTATAACTTCGCCTCAAGTCAAAGCCTATTTCACTCTTAGCATTTTGCTATAGTGAGGTCATTGCAAGCAGATCCTTCAAAGAGCTCTAAGAACATAATAACGCTCTGAAAATAAATTTCTATATAACACCTTCACGGTTTCCATGGAACCAAATCATGCAAAATAAAGTGTGAAGACATGGGAGCAAACATTTTGCAGGCATAACCAATTCACTAGCATTCCAAGATTTAGTGGGCATCATCATAAATACGGCTAAACCTGTCATATAATACTTCAAAGAAACTTCTCTGAGCCTGGAAGCTTCCAACTAATTATTACCTATCTGGAGTGATGGTTTTGCGGTGCCTTAGATATCTGCGGTGGCCCTCGACCGCTCTTGCCATGTTCCCTGAGTATGTTGGGATAAAAACATCACTCTCAATTGAAATAATATAATCAAGTGCTGCAGTCTGAGAAGCATGATTGATGAATGGCTTCAATTCTTCCTGTGTTGCAAGCGTTTCCTGTTAGGAGACCACAATTAGTCATATTTGCACCAAATTATAGGACTGGCATAATAATATCACTTCTCATCGAGGTTATATGGAATTATGGTCAACTAACCTTGGTAATAATATTTGGAAACCGAAAAGAAAGCTCAGAAAGTCGAGTATCGCCACCATAGATTTCCCCAGCTGCAATGTAGATTAATGTTGATGGAGGATACCCAAGAGCCTGTAGGAATATTCCCACTTCCTTTGGAGTAAGTGGACAAAGCCCTGCTAATCTCTGTTCCACGGAGTTTATAATTTTGATCTTCCAATGAGGAGTTTTCTCCCTAGAAACAAATGAGCGACATAAGAAGGAAGAAGACGGATAATTTCCACATACTTAAATTTTCAACAGTCAGACATGCTGGCACACATAATATGCACCTCATTATTCTCAGCTCTTCAGATTCATTATGAGTCAAACCATAAGTACAACCCGTGAAGGATAGCATGTCTTTCTCATATCTCAAATGAAGGGCAATATATCCTCCTCCACGCAATCTAAGCCGCTCGACCAGCTTCTGTGGTGTCACCGTCATGCATGCTCAGAACCTAATTTAGCAGGAAGCCCCATAGGAGACCTCTTAAATTTATAGATACTGGAAATAAGTTAATTTGATGTTCATTACGATCCCACTGTCAAATGAATTTCTCTCGTACATTTACAGATAAGATTTTTAAAAGATTTTGAATCCCTTTCCAGTATAGTGTTATTTTGATGTGCATTTCTGAAAATTTAACATAATCGTACACCAATTCAAGAATTCAAATATCTGCAGCATGTTCGATGTCTTGAAATTTGGATAAAAGCATTAAGTTATCGCTGAAGCAGTTGCTAACAAATATTTTTAAACCAGCAATAATCCAAACCTTTCCAAAGCTCTCAATTGGTTGAGCAAAGTGAAGGGCTTCATACATTGCACGACATCTGAGTCTCTGGATATCTAGGGGAAGATCATTATTTGCCAATCGAGAATCTGATTTTGCAACATGAATTACCTACAGAAATATACTTTATAAGACACTAGACAGCTGCATATTCTTCCTAGAAATTATTAAACGACCAACGAAGAGGGGAAAATCAGAAATTGAACAGGCGAAGAAGCCTATTCATTTGAACAATATATATATATATATATATATATGGTGTAATACTGAATGAAAGAATTGTATTCTCGATTTCAGAAAGATCCAAAATACAAAAGAGCTGGTTATATATAAGCAACCAACTAAACTAACTCATGTACAGGAGACTAACGGCTATATTTTCTAACAATTAACTAACAGCTAATTAACATTACATCAATATATATAAAATAATAAAAAAAAATTCAAAAATTAAATGACTCGTGTATATCTGGAGACTACAATTGTAATTCAAATTAGATATTGCAAACCATCAAGCTTGACATCAGAAATATTATACAGAACTTCAGAATGATACTATAGACTAAGAAGTTCTGTTTAGAGGATAGAAGATTTTATGACTAAATTCAAGATTTTTCTTTTGTGGTTGGAACTCTGGTCCACCACTGTGGATCCAGACTAAGGATGGTAATCGACATTAAGAAAATGGAGGAATCAACTGGAGAACAGATTACTAAAGAAGCAGAAGATTCCTTGATTCCTCATTTTAACTTCAAACTTTTATGTACAAGATACGAAACATTCAAGATACCTGATAATCTTTCCATAACCGTGTCATTTCTTCATAGTAACCAATACCAGACCATGAAGTGAAATGCTTACGAGCATGAGGAATAGACTCCAATTCCTTGGGGAGCTCCTTGACTATCTTAACATCACTTTGTAAGGTTTTGATAAAGTGATATTCGTCGAAAATATCTGAAAATGTACTGAAAAAGGTGTATATTACTAAGAGGGGTTAAATTAAAAACAGAATCAGCAACAAAGTGATCCACAAATGGCATGAAAATATATATCTAAGTACCTCGTATCATGCCAAAATGAACGTTTATCCAATTGAGGAATAACCAGGGTCCCATTCATAATACGTGCCACAGCCACCATGTCAGAAATCTATTAAAAGAAAAGTTTCTCCAAATAAAATTCTTATCAACAAATCCATGTCATAATTTAATTGTAAGGAAGTATATAAACTGGAATAAGTAACCTTACATGAGAGTCATAAAAATATCACTAAGGATGGTGCTTTGGGTGCGAGGTAGTGTTGGGCCCCTATTATTAATATGTATAACAGAAAGAGAGCGAAGGGAGACTACTGTTGCCATGTAACCAATATAGGTGTGGGTCCATTGTAACAAACTTAGTTAGCAGGCAGGAAGATGAACGAATCTAATTAGTCTATAGGGTAACTAATTTAAGAAGGAGAGGTACTATTTTGGTTGCCTAGATAGAAGTTGGAAGGGACGGGGAATTCTTTAATTTTCTCCCAAACTTGCACTTCTCCGAACTCTCTTGAACTGAGCTAACTCTATCAAGAAAAACTTTCTGAATATTTATAGGTCATGGAACAAGATTTTCGATTTCGAGTTTGGCACATTTTGATGGCTCTGGAGTCTGGATAGGTTCATACTTCTACATTTTCCTTTTCCATTATTCTCTTTTATCGATCACCAACATGATACTCCTTTTGTAATCCTCACGCAATATTATGTTGGTGGGACAGGTTTCTTTCTTTATTGTGGCCCCTTTTGTGAACTTCCATTTTTATTAACAAAAGTTGGTTCAGTTACAAAAAATAAAAATAAATAAATAAAAAGTAAAAAGAACAAAGGATATAAATGCTTAGAGTTCATATCCTTTTTTTGTTGGGGAGGAAGGATTTTCGGATTTGGTCCTCTAGCTCTTGCAAGGGGTTTTCCTATAGCTATTTTTTCCATTCATTGAGTTCTCCCTCTCTCCCCTCTTTTTTCCCATTGTTTGTCCAACTTTGAAAGGTCAAAATTCCAAAAAAGATTTAAATTTTTTGGGTGGCAAGTCTTACATGAGAAAGTCAATACCTTAGATCATATCCAAAGGTATTTTTCCTTCCTATCAGGGCTGCAGTGGTGTGTGCTTTGTAGAGGTGCCTTAAAAGGATCTTGACCACATTATCTGGACTTGTCAATTTGCTCGAGATATTTGGGGTCGGCTTTTTAAGTGCATTGGCGTGTCTTCAGCTTACTAGGGATTGTCGAGAGATGAAGGAGGGGGTTTTGTTGTTCCCCTTTTGGGAGGGAAGGTTTTTTGTGGCAAGCCATACTTCTTTACTACTTTGTGGGGAATTTGGCTTGAGAGAACCAATAGAACATTCAGGGGTGGAGAGATCCAGAGAATATGTCTGGGAGCTTATTAGACTTCCCTATGGGGTCTGTTTCTATTCTAAGCAGTTTTTTAGTTAGGTGTTATTCTTTTATATTGGAGCTTCTTTCACTAGGGGGCGTTCTTTTGTCGGGCTGTGTTTTTTTGGTAATGTTCTTGTATATTTTTTCATTTATCTCAATAAAAACTCGGTTTTAATAAAATAATGATAATAATAAATTAATAAAAATGCTTAAAAGTTGCTACAACTTAAACAATGTACAATATGGACCGAAGTACAAAAGTAACCAAAATTAACTATGAACAACAACATTTAGCATTGAAGTGTTCATAATCAATTTATCTTTACACATAAAACTAGGCGGCACTTCCTCCAAAAAAGGCTTCGGTCAATTTTCTATCACGAGTAACAAAGTTAGCAACTTACACCAGCTCGCATTTGATTTAGTCCTCCATTACTTCTCACTGTGATGTAATGATTTGACATTTGGGCAGCTGACACAAGAACAAGAAATTAGAAAATAATGGTCTTTTTCTTTCATATTCTTATCTTGTGTACACAGGTGCATGGGAAACACAAAATAATGATGCATCCGTGTTTTGTGTGCAGGCATGCACTTTGAACTTTCACTAACATAAAAAATTACTTTCAGCTGAGAACCAAGATGATCATCAAAGTTGCTACAAGTTTCATTCAAGATTATTAGTGAAATGAACATGAACAAATAATGTAGTGACTTGCGCAATATTAAAGGAAAATCAGCAAAAAAGAATCTACCAAATAATTCAAATCTTAGATCTCTTCCATTAAACTTCAATAACAAACGAGATCAAACCACTATGTGAACATACTTGCTCTTCAAAACTGAAGGAAACAGAAGACGCAATTACCTTCATATCTCGATGTAGGCCTGACACAGGGATGAAACCCGTTACTAGATGGAGCATCCCATAGGCGATCAACGGATGCCTTCATAAAATTTATAAAAAAAAAAAAAGGTAAAACCAATTTATTCACTGCCATTATGGACTAGAAGATACCCTCCTTCACAAAATTTTGCAAAAATAAATAAAGAGGCCCATGATAAAAGGAAGCTAGCTTCAAAGAAATAACTGCGTTGTTGAAGCTGTACAAAACAATGGCATAGTTTTTTGGCCTAGAGTATTTGTTATTCACCGTTTTAAGTGATAGTTAATCTTGAAAGGTTACTTCTTTAGTCCCTCATCAATTTACATTTCCTTAGTGCTGCTCTTTTTTAAAGAAGATACAAACTTTTCATTAATAAGTAAACCTTAGTGTTGCTATAATCCTTAATCTATACATTACATTTAATCAGTCCCTTGATCACTTTTTCAAACATGGACTCACAAATTAAATTTTACACAGAATAAAGTTCAAACAAGAGTTGTTATGGACATTCATCTAACTTGGCATGGCATTAACTCTTTCCTCGTTTATGTTGTAACCAAGTAGTCTTGTTTTCCAAGTGGAATATTTCCTTTCGCTCCTCCTCCCTTCTTTCCCAACGTAGTGATAGAACTACCTATAAATGGTGTAATAAAAATGGCAAATAAAGCCAAAATTCAATTCCCCCCGCCCCAAACTTTATTGTCGCTTCAATTGTTGTGTCATCTTCATCATTTAATGAATGAAACCACAGAAACAAAAACCAAGCCCAGTACACGGACTACAAAAACAAAAAAAGAACAAAACAAAACAAAGCAAAAAATTACGAGGAAGAATGAAAACTGGAAACAATACAATTAGACTAAATAAATAACCTTGGAAACAGAGGAGAGATGTCCCTTTCCTAAATTTCCAATAGGATGCTTTCCACTATCAGAAGAAATTGCAGCAGGCTTTTAATATGTTAATTGTTACGTTTCATTTTGTAAAAGATGCTTTTTTCGTACTTAATCCAGGGTTTCCACACTTCATCCAGAACACTTATCGCAAATTCACAAAATTTATATTTTAAATCCAAATTTATCATTCCATGAAAGTTATGCAACTACCCTATCAAAAATAAAAGGCAGAACATGGAAATTTAGAGACGAAAGCAAAAACTAGACTAATTCTTGTGACAAATCACAAATACCAAATGAGAATTACAGAAGAAACAAGAAAACCAGCTTTATTTATCACGACAATAGGGCGAAGAAAACACCATACCGGCTTAGATTTATATTGAGATTTCTCCAGCTCTGAAAACAACGGATTGTGTTCATCTTCCAATATGTTTCTAGTGCAGAACAAGAATAAGAAGACGGAAGATGCAAAAATAAATATCAAGCAGAGAGCAACGGCGAAAGGCGATGATTTTCGTATACGAAATCTGGAGGTTGATGGTGTCCTATAGTGGGTGAAGCTTCGGTTCACCATTTCAGCTGCGGATCTCAATCAACTCCATTTCTCAATTGTTTTGCAACGATTTTGGGCGCGTGTAGCAATGTGACGCAGATAATTAGCTCGTTCCCTTCCAACTGCAACGATCTCCGAGTCGGCGTAAGATAAATTCGAGCAATTGGGCTCGATTCTCCCTCCGAATTAATCTCCGAAGTGAATCGTCGGAAGTTGAGAATGTGCAAACAGCAGCGATAAAAACAAAATTTTGATTTCTCGAGTTAGAGTTTAGCTATGTTCGACAATATGTACCGTTGATTTTTATGAATGATGGATGGCTGATGAGTATCAATATGCTCTTAATTAACGATGCTAATAACTAGGTTTTATTTATTAAAAAAAAACCCAGGTTTAAACACCTGTTTTCTCAGATGTTTTAAATATTATTTTCATCTTTTATTTCATTTTAATCCCAGGGATCAATTATCTATTTTTATTTGATTAACAAATTATATTTGTACCTATATTTGTGATCGATTGTCTATATTTATTTGATTAACATATTATATTTGTCCCTATATTCTTTTTCATTACTTTTAAGAGATTAATTTTGATCATGTATTTTAACTTTAGTTATTGTATTTTAAAAAAGTGACTATTTAAATTTAAATTTGTAAACTTTTAACACATATTTTTTACACCTAATGGAAATTCTTAAATATAAAATGATGGTTATGTTTCAATTAATATATTGATTGTAATGTCATGTTGAATCGTGATAGACAAAAATGAGATTAAAATACAATTTTAAAAGTAAGTTGCCAAAACAAATAATCTAAATTTATATTGACTATAATAAACCAAAGTTGAAAATACGTCAAGATGGATAACTATTTTGAGAGTACATTGACAAAAGTGAACAAAAGCTTGAAGTATCGATTGTATTTTAATTTTTTCATTTTTATCACATTTATTTCAATCTTAAGTTTAACATGACAGTGTATTCAATTCATTTATTGAAATTAGATATAGATTTTGCATCACCATGTTTCCACCGAAGCCCCATGATAATGGAAACCCCCGTGATTCATACTAGGTTTGGAATATGAATTTTGCCCTAATTTTCCAGCATTTCATGCATCTCTTGTGACCTGGCTGCCCACGATCTAGTTATGAGATATTTAGAAGAGCATAGACTAACCGTGGAGTTATTATGATTGAGTTATCAAAAATAAATGTGCACCGTATTAGTACAGGTATCAATTATTTTTAAGCTTTTCTTTACCATTCTTATGTGATCTCATTCAGATGTGGTATCGATTCATTAATGTACCCCTTCTATTTACTCGAGCATCACACACACGCATATATTTAGAGATACACATCAATTACCGCTAAGCTATGCTATTTGGCTTGTATGATATATTTTACCTCTACGTGTTTTCACATCGAGAATTCTTTGCAGATGAAGAGATGTCAAAGGGGCTGCACTTATATAAACGTTGGTTTATCTATATATGTAGGAAGATCTGTTTGGAAAGTAAACAGTCTTCATCTGCAAATAATTCTCGATGTGAAAACATAGAGACAACAGGCTGATCTTTTAACAGGTAAAAGGAATGGGAGAAGATTTGAAAAAATGATCTTAGAGTGTATAGGAATGGGGAAACAAGCGCACTTGGATAGCGCAGTACACGAAGAGTTGTATGTTGCGTTCGGGAATGATGAATATCTCCCGAAAAGAAACCTATTGATTCTCTCCTAATTGGTTGGACAAAAAAAAAATCGATCCATTGCCGTCGTATGCAATACAAAAAAATTAATTGGATGGGTTGGTTGTATTTTCATTACAATAAAGAGAGAAATTAAATTCCTATAAAATCAAGCTATTTGTGAAGTTGAATGTCGAATTTAATTCCTAGGATCTAATTGAAGGTTGAATTTATCTATGCATGGCTGAAACAGATTGCATTGAAGTTGTTCGGTTGTTCAATGGAAAGACGAATATCTCACGAAAGTATGTTGAAGTATTGAGGGGGCCAGACGGTTGACGATTGAAACTAGAATATCCACGATTCAACACATTGGAAGATGGACAACAGAGCTGCACATGAACTGTGGGCTTTGGAGAAGGACACCTTGAAAAAAAAATGGTTTCAAACTATGATTCATGAAAATATAGTTAGGTCGGTATATCTAAAAGAAAAAAACGCATTTAGCTTTTTTAAGTAAAAAAAACTTTTATTTTATTTTTTGAGACAAAAATGTAACTCGTCAGGTATTAATTTGTCAAAGTGAATATAGTTCAAGGAGAATTGACATGTAACTTCGAGGGTGTGAATTCGAATCGCCTCTCTAGTATGTTGTACCGGAAAAAATCAGGGTATTAATTTTATTCGCACTGATTAAATAAAAAATTTGAAGTTAAAAATCATATCGTAAGAAAATCACATATATTTTATTTACAAACCACCGCGAACAAACACACACAAAACCTCAGATAAAACTCCATTGGGTACTACCACCGTTCTTCAGTTTCTTCAAGAAATCGAGAGCCGAAAGGAAGACAAACCTGGTAGAAGAGTAGAAGACATTCCCAAATGCTGGAATCATGACGTTTATGGCTTCAAACGCTTTTAATTTCACCCAATTATCGCACCCCGTTCTTCCTTCCACTACATCCATCGGTCGAATTCAGCTAGTTTCATCCTGTTCTTCCTCGTCCAGCAATCATGGTTCAGCTGCCAAAATTCGCACCAGAAACCGCATTTTTAGTTTCCAGAAGTTGCGGGAGCTAAGAGTATCCACTACAAGAGCTTCAAGTTCGGATACAGACGCGGTTGTTGCCTCCACAAATGTCGAGGAAGACGTTGAGTCTGCTCAGCTATTCGAGGTTTGTCTCACTTCTACGTTTAAAGTTGGATTGGTGTTTCATAAACGAGATATTAGGACCTACAGAGTAATGTAATTCTGGCATATGTATTTGCTGTCATGTGTGGATGAGGCAGATATGTTAGTTGAGGTTGAACGCGAGAGATATGTTTTGAAGTTCATGAAATCGAAACTTAGTTCTTGAACTTTATCTTAACGAGTAGAGTAACACAAAACGTGGTAGGTGTTTGTTGCATAAAATCGTTCTGTTGGTGGTCTTTAATGAGAATTAATAGATTAGTATTATGTTTGGCGTTCAGCGACTCAACATTCTATGCACGAATATTTATCAACATTTTAAGAACTTATTCCTAGGTGACAGTCAATACCAATTTGATTCTCTGTTTTTTCTTTTTTTTTTTGATCTCATACATCCGAGTCTTGAGTTTTTCAGAAATTAAAGGGTGCCGAGAGACAACGGATAAATAAGTTGGAAGAACTTCAGCGGAAGGCGAATTTGCAATTAGAGAGGCAGCTTGTAATGGCTTCTAGTTGGAGTAGGGCCTTATTGACCATGCGTGGAAAATTAAAGGGAACTGAGTGGGATCCCGAGAACTCGCACAAGATTAATTTTAGTGATTTTTGGACACTGCTTAATTCGAGCAATGTCCAGTTCATTGAGTACTCAAATTACGGTCAAACAATGTCAGGTAGTCACAGCATATTCTCTCTGTATCTTAGAACGTATACACATTTTTCTTATTTTTAAGTGTATTTAAAAACAATAGAAAGGGGATTCCAGTCAGCACAAATGGAAGAGACACTATAATTAGTCAAAATTATAGTGGCTTTTTAGATATTTTGTTGTGATTTAGCTTTTTAAGGCATTCTTGTTGTCTATGTCTTTAAGGATTGATTTTTAGTTATACGTTTAAGCAGTTTTCTTTCAGCAATCTTTGTTGAAGGGTATCGTAGTTATTTTTCTGATTTTTTTTTTCTTTTTTTTTTCCTGATAGTTGTTTGTTATACTGGTGCAGTTATTTTACCGTATTACAAAGATGGAACAGAAGGAAATGCAAGGAATGAAATCATTTTCCGGCGTCATGTGATTGATCGTATGCCAATTGATTGTTGGAATGACGTTTGGAAGAAGTTGCATCAACAAATAGTAAACGTTGATGTAATTAATGTGGACGCAGTCCCTGCCGAAGTCTATTCATCTGTTGCAACTGCAGTTGTCTGGTCTATGCGGCTAGCACTCTCTGTTGCATTGTATCTTTGGATTGATAACTTGGCGAGACCAATATATGCAAAGTTGATACCTTGTGATTTGGGAGTTCCTAGAAAAATAACTAGACTACCACTCAAGCGCCGTGCACTTGGGTCGTTAGGCAAGAGTCGGTAAGTAGATATCATTGATCAAATTTTGAATATTTTATGTCTAATTAATGTTATTTTTGTTCAGTTGGTTGATATTTCTGCTAATGCTTCACTATAGATCGTGGTTCTTTTATTTTC